AAAACTGCATGTGATGTAGGAGAAGATAATCACGTCACACTCATGGCAAGAAAAAATACTCAGATCCAAGTAGACGAGCAGCAACCAAACACGCTGTTTGGGGACTTTTTTCTGTATTTTCTTCGGTGATTATCCCATTTTCTAGATGAGAAAACTGATGTTCAGACAGGTCCCCAGGCGAGTAATCAGTGAGGCCAGCATTCACCATTGACTGCGTCCCTTATGGAAAAGGATAATAGTAGTATTTCAATTTAGTATGATCTGACCCTGTAGGTGGCTTTACTGCAACTGAGAATTGAACTGAAGGATCGGCATTTCCTTCTTTGACATCTGAAGATAAAGGAAATAAAACTAATGATATTGAAAGTAATAAAGAATGAAAATGAAATGATTTTTACCATCAGTTGTTGTATAAAGTGCGTGTCAGTGGCATGAAGCGGATGTGTAATTCTTCTCCTAGCTCCGTCCCAGTGAAGGAAGCTGGCATTGCCATTCAGCTGTTTCTGTGGTTTTTCTAGCACGGCTTTGCATGGTATGGCAAGTCTCAAAAAAAAGAACTTGTCCGGAAACCATTTCTGACCATTGCTTTAGACTTAATTAACTAGTATTAGCAAGACTGTAAAAGGACAGATCAGGTGAACGATCTTAAATACCAAAATTAAATGTCTCTATATGGGGGGTAGGAGGTAGACAAACTCAGACACAATAAAGAAGCTTAAAGAGGTGAGTGGGCCAGGCACAGTGGCTCATGCCTATAATCCCAGCACTTTGAGAGACTGTGGCGGGAGGCTTGGTTGAGACTAAGAGTTTGAGACCAGCCTGGGCAACATAGTGAGACCCCCCATCTCTGGAAAAAAAAAAAAAAGCAAGAAAAAAGAAAGTCCTGCCCCATATCAGCTAAAAATTAACAGTAAATAAAATGTGGACCAGGCATGGTGACTCACAGCTGTAATCCCAACAGTTTGGGAAGCCTAGTAGAGCTGATCACCTGAGGTCAGGAGTTCGAGACCAGCCTGGCCAACATGGTGAAACCCATCTCTACTAAAACTATAAAAATTAGCTGGGCGTGGTGGCACACATCTGTAATCCCAGCTACTCAGGAGGCTGAGGCAGGAGAATCGAGTGAGCTTGGGAGGCAGAGGTTGCAGTGAGCTGAGATCATGCCACTGTACTTCAGCCTATAGGACAGAGCAAGACTCCATCTCAAAAAAATAAAAATAAAATGTGCATGCCTGGCTGGGCGGGGTGGCTCACACCTGTAATCCCAGCACTTTGGGAGGCCGAGGTGGGTGGATCACAAGGTCAGGCGTTCAAGATCAGCCTGACCAACATGGTGAAACCCCGTCTCTACTAAAAATATAAAAATTAGCTGGGCGTTGTGGCACACGCCTGTAATCCCAGCTACTCAGGAGGCTGAGGCAGGAGAATCGCTTGAAGCCAGGAACCGAAGGTTGCAGCGAGCCAAGATTGTGCCACTGCACTCCAGCCGGGGAGGCAGAGCAAGACTCTGTCTCAAAAAAAAAAAGCCAAGATGAGCAAAAGATAGCCACTAAACTCTTCTTAAATTTTATTTTTTAATGTATTGTTTGCATGCAACAAAATACATCCATTGCGAGTGTACAGTTTGATGCATTGTGGTAAGTGTACAGAGTTTTATACCACACCCTAGTCAAAATACAGTTTCCTTTGCTATTGATCCCTTTCCCCAATCCAGGCTCTCATTGATCTGCTTTCTCTAATAATGGTTTTGTCTTTTCTAGAATTTCCTAAAATGTATCAGTATTTTGTTCCTTTCTATTGTGAAACCTATTATGGGCAGACACAGGGCCTGAAAAGGCATTAAACCCAGGCAGAGTGGGCTGTCCTCGGCCTGCAGACAGCCGCAGTCATGCTTGCAGAGGAGCTGTGGTCCCTTTAAGTGACATGACATTATGGACAATGGCAGTTGACCCTTGGGGGCTTTTCCTGCACCTTGCACATACAAGCTAAGGGCTTTACCTAAATTACATAAATTTCCTCAAGTAACTATCTCAGTAGCCCTGGGAGGAATCACTTATGTTATCATCTAAATTGACTTAAAACAGGAATTTGAGACTCTAATTTGAAAACAAGAGATTGGAGCCTATTTAGTAGATTTTATGCAGCCAAAGCTGTTTCTGTTTCATTTTGTTTTGTTTTGTTTTGTTTTTCTATTTTTAACTAATTTGCCTCCCAGGAGACAGTTGAAATGTCTAGAGACATTTTCATTATTATGCCTGGCGGGACGCCACTAGTGGCGTCTAGTGGGTGGAGGTTAAGGGTGCTGCTAAGCGTCCTCCCATACACAAGACAGCACCCTCCACAAAGAATTATCCAACCCCAAATGTCAGTAGCGCTGAGGCTGAGAAACCCCACTCTGCTCTCTAACCAAAATTAGACACAGAAAGTAGAGACATTCTACCACCTGACAACATAAATGGCTTTTGCCCATTTAAAAACATAAAGAGGAGTAAGTATCCAACCTAAAACAACATCTCAAAGAACATTCTTCCTAATAGGCTTTTGCAAAAATAGTTCATATTTTACAACTGTCTTGCAGCGTGGGTGTAAATGAGACCTAATCATTGTAAACATGAAAAGAGTGCCTCAAAACGTCTGAAGTTCTGAGCAGAGAGCAGCCTTTTGGATGGAGGCAGGACTAGGGTATCAGTAGGAGTGAGAACCATGGTCAGATAAATGAGTACACAGCACTTGTAGACTGATTAAGTCCCTTTTTTTTTTTTTTCCTTCTTTTGATGGAGCAAGACTGTAACAGAAGCCTGAGAGTGAGGAAGACCTTTGGCAACTGTTACTGTAGACACAATAGTTTACTCAATTTCATGAACTCTTAGTCCTGGGCTGGAATGCACACCTCTGCTGGAATTGCACAGACAAAACGTGCTTGGAAGGAGTAAGGTGGCAAAAACAGAAAAATGCAGGCGAAAACATGCCTCATTTTGAAACTGGATCTGGGCATCCTACAGCCAGAGCCTCTCCCAGCCGACGTTGCTGAGTTGAGCAGAGTGACAGCGTCCACGCTGGAGCCCACCCCCAAGCTGGCCGTACGGAGGAGCCACGAGCAGGCACTGGGAAGACAGGCTCGTGAATGCACACTATGCTGATGTCTCCTTCTGTGAAGTTTTCTACATGAATGACATGTTCTCAAAGTCTGTAACACAGTCTGCCACGAGATGCCTTTTTCCCTCTGGGAACACAATGCTACTTTCGTGGTTGGCTGAGTAATAGCCCCCAAATATGTGTTCCTTATCCTAATCCCTGGAACCTGTGAACATGTTACCTTAGATGGCAAAGGAGACTTCGGGTGGGTGCCTATAATCCCAGATACTCAGGAGGCTGAGGCACGAGAATCGCTCAACCTGGGAGGCGGAGGTTGCAGTGAGCCAAGATCGTGCCAGTGCACTCCGGCGTGAGCAACAAAGTGAAACTCTGTCTCCAGAAAAAAGAGACTTCTCAGATGTGACTAGGTGAAGGATTTTGAGATGTGGAGATTATCCTGAATGAGCCAGGTGAGCCTGATATAATCACAGAGTCCTAAGAGGGACAGAGGAAGAGTCACTTAGAAACAGACCATGCGATGACGAAAACAGAGGGAGGCCAGAGGTGAAATGAGAAGATGCTGCAGTGCTGCCTCTGAAGATGAAGAAAGGGGCCATAAGCCAAGGGCTGCAGGCAGCCCTTAGAGGCCAGGAAAGGCAAGGGAACAGATGCTTTCCTAGAGCCTCCAGAAGGAGCACAGCCCGGCCAACACTGATTTTAGCCCCGTAAGACTCATCTCAGTCTTCTGACCTCCAGAACTGGAAGAGAAGAGATTTGTGTTGTTTGAAGTTTATAGCCATTTGTTACAGCAGCAACAGGAAATTAATATACCATGTTTGGGCCAGGTGCAGTGGCTCACAGGTGAGCCTGTAACCCCAGCACTTTGGGAGGCCAAGATGGGAGGATCACTTGAGGCCAGGAATTCAAGACCAGCCTGGGCAACATGGCAAAACCCCATCTCTACAAAAAATATAAAAATTGGCCAGGCATGGTGGTGCATGCCTGTAGTCCCAGCTATTCTGGAAACTAAGGTGGGAGGATTGCTTGAGCCCAGGAGGCAGGGGTTGTAGTGAGCCAAGACTGTACCACTGAACTCCAGCCTGGGCAACAGAATGAGACCCTGTCTCAAAATAAAATAAAAACATACCATGTTTGAAGAACCACCAATAGGTGTCTTGCTTTGTGACTTGTGATCCTTAAGTGTGTGTGTGTGTATATATATATGTATATAGTCACAGGAAGTCAATACATATATGGGATAATCACCAATCTCTAAAATACATAGTCAGTGTGCTCATAAAATAGCCAAGCTCTGGCTGGGTGCGGTGGCTCACACCTGTAATCCCAGCACTTTGGGAGTCCGAGGCAGGTGGATCACGAGGTCAGGAGATCGAGACCATCCTGGCTAACACAGTGAAACCCCATCTCTACTAAAAATACAAAAAAGTAGCAGGGTGTGGTGGCAGGCACCTGTAGTCCCAGCTACTAGGGAGGTTGAGGAAGGAGAATGGCATGAACCCAGGAGGCCGAGCTTGCAGTGAGCCGAGATTGCGCCACTGCACTCCAGCCTGGGCGACACAGCGAGACTCCATCTCAAAAAAAAAGAAAAAAAAATAGCAGTCTCTGCGCTAACAGACAAAGACATAAGGCTCATTGGTAATAGTGGTAATAGCAGCTCTTGGTCTGAGCAATGTCTGGCATCTGAAGTCACCATTAGCATTTTCAAAGAAGTCCAGCTTTTTACGGTATAACTATTTATTCTGTCTTCCAATGTGATCCATAAGGAAAAAAAAAATCTCCCGAAGTCGTGTGATGTTTAAAAATGTGTTTATTATAGCTTGCCTGTCATTTATCTGGTTTTTAGCTAAAATGTTTTGAATTGACTGGTGATATTCCCGACTTAACTCTGAACCCTCTCTATTCAGGTCTGTGAGAACTCCTGACGTCTGAAGCTTGACTCCCAAGTTTCCATAGCAACAGGAAAAAGAAAAAAAAAAATCTATCCAAATCTGAAGATTGCGGTTTACAGCTATCGAACTTCACAACTAGGCCTCAATTGTTCCGGGTTTTTGTTTTCTTTGCAATTTCACTTAGTCTGTACTTCATCATTTTGACAGCATCTTCCTCCCTCCTTTAATTAATGGAATCCTCTGAATTTTCCCTGAATGTTTAAAGATCATGACATATGACTTGATCTTCTGGGAGCAGGAACAATGACTACTTTTTCTGGTGTGTTAACATGTCGCTAGCCAGGGTTCCAGGCACCCAGTTTTGTCTGTGGGTTAGTATTGGTGTATGTATGAGTATCTGTATGTGTATATACACGGTATTTATAGAGAGAGACTATCCCGGAGAAGCCTCGTTTTGATGCCATTCTTCCTTGCAAGGTTAAGCAAGGTGGGTGAAAACTAAGACAACTGAACCCTCCAGGGCCTCCCGCTTCAAGGTCAGCATGAGGACAGACCACAGAGCTGTCACTTTTGCTCTGAAGCTGCTTCTCCACTGTCCCATTCAGTCTGAATGCTGCCACGACCAGCCAGGCAGGTCCACAGAGAGGGAGAGCAGAGAAAGAAGTCCTTTCTCTTTACTGAGTTCGAGGACTGCAACTGATTTTCACTGCCATCTGATGCCGTGATCCTGAGCCAAGGTGGTGAGGAGCAGGGCGGGCAATTTCACCACCACATGCCAAGAAAAGGGCTGACATTTTCTTTCATGGGCACCAACCTGCATTTGTCTGTGTCCCGAATCCACAGTCGCACTGATTCTTATGGGGACACAGATCATGGTAAAGAATCTCTCCCTCCTCAGTAAATGTGTAACTGCAACTGTCATCACGGAGGTCATACCTGCATACAAAGAGGTCTACAGGTACCATCTTGTATACACATATATACCCACATGTACAGACATACATTTATGCACATTCACTCCGTTTGTTTCATATATACAGGCATAAAATAGAGTAAATACAGGTAGTTTTAAAAGTACCCTTTTGTGTGAATTGACTACCGTTGTTTGCAAACCTGAAAATAAAAGACGTTCATTATGTATGAAAAGTAACTGATTTGTATTCTGTGAGCATGTAAAAGCAGAAAGTTAGTGCTTGTTCTAAGATTCCCTTCTTGTTGATAAACCGTAAATGAATCATCAAAGCTCACACCAAATTTTTCTATCAAAACTAGTGACAGCTTGTGGCTTTTGATTAGAGCTCGCCACGAACTAGGGTAAGGTAAGTGTCTTAGCATATTTTAATGCAGTTGCTTTACTAAAGGTTTTAACCGCACACGCACACACACACGCTTTCTTATGCAATCTATGTTTGCACTTGTGCTTTCAGTTAGCCTTCTGTAGGAAGTAGAAGTCATATGTTGTCTTTGTTGTAGTGAAATTATACAGATAGAGTTCCATATATTGTATTTGTTTCCATAGTAAATCCTTTTGGAACATATAGAATGCAGAGATTTTTTTTTCCATTAAAATAAATGGGTATTGGTGGTTAAAACTGCTGGACAGTAACTTTTCTCTGATTTCTATCTTGTGTCTAATGTCACTGATGCTGGCTGGGTCTTGTCTTAGCGCAAGTTCACTTTTTGACTGACCATTTGGGGTCTGTCGTACATCTCTGGTAGGTGAGTGGGTCTATAAAGATACCAGTTGTCAGCATGGGCAATGGACTCATGTTGTCCACCTCATGATATGATCTGAGGGTATCATAATCAGCTATAAAGGTAATTGCATACTCAAAGATGAGACGGACCCTTCTCAATTTGATGACCACATTAAGCACAGTCACGGCCATCTGTCAACAGTCCGAAGACCTGGGGATTTTTCTCTGGAACAAATCCTGTTGCTGGATCAGGAGATGCCATACCTTGAACTTGATAGGGTCATTCTCCACGAGCACATGCCCCCGACTCAGGGACAGGGGAATCTAAGCCTGTGCATTCACACTTTACAACATTTCCTCTACTGGCTTATAGGGCACTATCACGTGCCTCCCTGGCGCACCTCGCTGCCCTCTTCCTGCAAGCCAGGGGGAGAACGTTCACCCTTGAACAAACCAAGAGCATCCTCAGCCAGTCAGGCAGCTGGTAGCCGGACACGTATGCTAACTGGCAATCAGGAAGTCGCCCTCCAACGTAAACTTCAGCCACCTGCAAGGAGATACACAGCAGCTGAGTGACCATTCACTGAAGGAAATAGATACGAGACGACTCCTTTTCTCTCAAGCCAGTAAGCTCTCCTGCACTTTGCAAACCAAACCAGAAGCTTAACTTAGCTGAAAATTCAGAAAGGAGTAAAGTGCACACTTCATTAATAAATAGAATATGCCTCAACTTTCCCTTATTTAAACATATTCTCTGTCCCCACAGTTCTAATCAGGACAGGGAAACTTCCGTCATGTTGTTCTTTCTAATACTTTCCAGAAAAAAAAGAAAAAAGAAACCAATTCTTATAGGCCAAAGTGATAGCATTTCCTGAATCACAGGATGTTTTGTTAACCTACTGGAATATATTACATTGTTTACTGAAAACCATAGTAGAATCAAAATGTTATTTCATTATTACCTATGCATTTTATCTGAGTCCAACTTATTAAAAAATGAAGTCAAGTAAGAACCAGAAATTGCTTTTCTCAATTACTGAGCACAGGTTCTGAGGGTCTTATTTCCACTGAGCAAACAGTCACACCTTCACTTCTTTTTATTAATACTCAACCACCTTAGTTGATTAAAAATCACATTTTCTCCCTCATTTTACATACGATTAATTAATTATTTTGGATAATTTGTTTTAATAAGAATATGCACACATTTTCTAATTTCAATGAAAGTCACCTTCAATACTGCCAATTCTCTCCAAATGAGCATCATTTCAGGTAGATATACCTGCTATGCCTCTTGGCCGACACCAGCAAATCAAAGCATCATAACGAAATAAATCCAGCCAGATTTCATGGTAGGTATCAAATAAGACTTTAGCTCTTAAAGAACATCATTAGAAATTTTGATAGCTCATTCCAGAGTTTCACAATGTCAATTTAAACAGTGTGATAAATGGAACAACCATCTACCATCACACTCATAGAGTAGCTCAAACGGCATTTTACCCAGAATAAATGCATTGGGTCTTAATCTTAAGATGTGACAACTAAAAAATTTTTAACAAGTCTGTGTTTGATCCTGGATTTGGTGCAGTTGCACCCAGGCACAAGCTCTCCAGATGATTCTGAGGAAAGGAGTCTACAATTTTCCTGGGGGGTGTATGAACATGGTACCAAAAAGGTGATTAATAATTATAATGGTTTATATTTATCAACTGCTTATTATGTGCCCATACTGTACAAAATCCTTATAGATAGTAACTCATTAATCCCTCCAGTAACATATGAGGCAAGTACTACTATCTTCTCCAACTCACAGATAAAGAAGGCTGAGGTTCAGAAAAAAATTGAATGACTTGCCCAAGGTAAGTGGCCTCCAGAACCAAACCCCAGGCTGTCTGGCTCCAGGGTTCATGTTCGTCCCACGACATCACAATGCCACTCTCAACCCTGGAGCAGAACCAGACCATCTGCCTACTGCAGACCAGGAGACCCTAGTTTGAAGCCTCCGATAGCATAACTATGCAGCTAAACCAACTTACTGTTAAGCAACAGTACCTCTTACTATGAGGTATCTTTTACTATTAAGTACCTTTTACTAACAGTATCTTCTATTACCTACTATTAAGTTCCTGCTATACTTCTTCATTCTGAAAGCTTTCTGTTTAAAAAAAAAAATGTTAACATCATTCTTAATTAATATTGAGACCTTAGAAATTTTTCCTGTACAAGATAACATAATTATTTGCCCCTTCCCTTCCATGGCTTATTAGCAGGTAGATGAGGGGCTTCTCCTAGATTAATTTAACATCTCAATTAATTAAAAGTAGCTGGGCATGGTGACTCATGCCTGTAATCTCAGCCCTTTGGGAGGCAGAGGCGAGTGGATCACTTGAGGTCAGGAATTTAAGACCAGCCTGGCCAACATGGTGAAACCCCATCTCTACTAAAAAATACAAAAATTAGCTGGGTGTGGTGGTGCACACCTGTAATCCCAGCTACTCAGGAAGCTGAGGCAGGAGAATCGCTTGAACCCAGGAGGCAGAGTTTGCAGTGAGCCATTGCACTCCAGCTGGGGCAACAGAGCAAGACTCCGTCTCAGGAAAAAAAAAAAAAAAAATTATGAACTCCAGAGTACCCATTCACTACCAAACCAACTGAGGCGAGGGAAAACTGAGGGAGAAAGTGGGGTGGGATCTTGAAGGGTTTACACTGTGCTTTGCTATAAATTATTCAAAGAGGCAAATTCTAAAGGATCTCTAAGTAGTTTCTGATTTTGTAAAGGTAGCCCATTAATCTATTTACGTGTAGCTGCCTTAAACATGAGTCAACAGGGTAAATCACACCAACAGGAAACCCAAGCACCGAAAAAGCCACCTACATTTTCTGTTTACCAAATACTAAGAATAATCATCTAATAATCTGGCTACATCTTTCATAAAGACCTCCATCTTCTCTCCTTAACTGACTGTTGAGATTTGGTATTTTTCATAGTCTAATGATAAAATGCTTTCAAAATTGTACATCCAATGCAATTAACAATTCTTTTACTATATCCAATGTGTTACCCTTACTATATTTCCTATTGCTAATAGATTAGCCCACTATTGAAAAAAATTCTGCAGTTGTGACTGTGTTCATATGAAAGCATGTACAAGATATAGAGAGACAGCAAAAAATAGTGGGAATGGATGTGTGTATGCGGGTTTCAGATAAGAACTTCAATTATATAATTTAAGAGTAAGTCTATAATTTAAGCAGAAATAATTTAGATACTCATCAAATTAAGTAAGCGGAAAAATTTCCTCTCTCTCATGCTACGTTGCTATCATCACATCTTTTGTTGGAGGGTTGCTAAGCTTGATAAGCCTTTGAACCATTTTATTTGACTTTCCACGTGCCAGCTGGTTGGTAGGGAGATGGTGAAATGCCTTGGGTGGTGTAGGATTAGGGAAGTTTTCATTCTGAAGCTATGAAGACTTGGAGAAAGGGGTTTATAGAAGCACTATGAAAATAAGCTGGAGCTTCTATTTTCTGCTACTTTTTAAAAAGCTTTTTCTTTAGAGAGTAATAAATCCATTATGTCTATCGTATACATGAATTCAGACTATTAGAGAGTTGAAAATGCAGGCTATATATATATATATAAAATCTGTGTTGTCATGCACATGTCAACACTGTCCTGATGACAAAATTTTATTTATCCCCCCAGATAAAAATTTGAAGAAATTTTAAATGCTTTTTATTCATAAACACTTTTCAAAAGGGATAAAAGTTAATCATGTTAAAATATTCATTCTATGGCAGATGTCACTCCTTTGAGCCCTCCCTGCTGAATTGCTTACAGTTTCTGAGCTGTAAACTAATATTTGCTTTACTATGTAGTTACAAAGAAATGTGTAACTTGTTTGTGAAATATTCAAATAAAGCTTATCTGGGATTTTTAACTTGTGTGTTTAGTCTTAGACCATCTTTAGTACAGTCTAGTCTAAACACTGTGACAGAGCAAAGGGACCTTTTTGTCCAGTGGTGCGCAGTGTCGTGGGTGCAACTGGCTGGTGCCAGTGTTTTGGGTGGCAAAGGATTTACCAGCAGGGCATGGTGGCTCACGGCTGTAATCCCAGCACTTTGGGAGGCCAAGGCGGGCAAATCACCAGAGGTCAGGAGTTTGTGACCAGCCTGGCTAATGTGGTGAAACCCCGTCTCTACTACAAATACAAAACTTAACTGGGCATGGTGACACGTGCCTGTAATCCTAGCTACTTGGGAAGCTAAGGTGGGAGAATCGCTTGAACCCAGGAGATAGAGGTTGCAGTGAGCCAAGATCAGGCCCCTGCACGCCAGCCTGGGTAACAGAGTGAGACTCTGTCTCAAAAAAAAGAAAAGAAAAAAAAGAATTTACCAATTTAACAAGACAGTTGTAGGTAAAGAAAGGCCAATTACTCAATTACTCAAGGGAAAGTACGTTGCAAGGAAGCAACGGGCAGCACAGCAGAGAAGGGGCTGTCTGGAAAGAGGCAGGGGCTGGAGGGAAGTTTTAGGTCATGCTGGAGGATGTTACACTCGGAGCGAGGTAGTTGTGCTAGCGTCTTGTTTGTGATTAGCTGTCTCTTGGAACAGTTGTTCTCCCCTACTTGGGACCCCCTTCTTCACTGTTGCTTACTTATCAGGACTCCACACCATGTTAGTCTATGATGTTTAAAAACCAAGACTAAAACCAAGTGATTCCTGCTTAATAATTGGCTCTCTTCTGCTTCTTTCATAAAAGTCAATCATTCTGATTTGGAAAAACAGATATATAGATGATAGAGAGAGAGAGAGAGAGTGAGATAGACAGGTAGATCAGACAGATAGACAGCAAGAAAGTTACTTAGTGAGATCATTTTTAAAAAAAAGAAGGGGGCCAGATGTGGTGGCTCACGCCTGTAATTCCAGCAATTTGGGAGGCAGAGGTGGGCCGATCACCTGAGGTCAGGACTTCAAGACCAGCCTGGCCAACACAGTGAAACCTCATCTCTACCAAAAATATAAAAGTTAGCCAGGTGTAGTGGTGGGCACCTGTAATCCCAGCTACTCAGGAGGCTGAGGCAGGAGAATCACTTGAACCCAGCAGCTGGAGGTTGCAGTGAGCAGTGAGCCAAGATAGTGCCACTGCATTCCAGCCTGGGCAACAGAACAGAGCAAGGCTCTATCTAAAAAAAAAAAAAAAAAAAAAGAGAGAGAGAGGGAAGGGTGTGTTCATAAGTGCTTCCTATAGGCCGGATACTGTATTTATCTATATAGACGTGTATATACACATTACCTTGTAGTTATATGTGTAATTTATGTGTAATAATTATATATCATATACATAATTTATGTAATTCATGGGATATTGAAATAGACATTAACTCCATTCTATAGCTGAAGAAACTGAGGTTCACACAGTTAAAACCATCTCATGGTAGGTCTCACGACTACTGAGTGGTATGCATGGCTCCACCCTGGCACTTTTCCTGCTATACGCTAAGGCAGCACCACCACATTTATCACCAGGAACACACTGTGTCATCAGAAACAATGCATGAAAATGCTGTGGACTAAGCAAGTGGACAATGACGGGGGAGTAAAGCAGAGGAAACCTAAACTTACAAATCTGGTCTATAGGAAAACTTTCCTTCCCCCCAGGCAGTCTGTCTCCAGGAAACTGCTACTTTGGGTAAATAAATAGCAAACAGATGCCTTGGCAGCCAGTCACGGAGATGCTAATTTGGAAATTTGCCTCCAAAGAACATAAGACACAGAAACCAATGCTTCAGTCCAAAAGCAAGAGAATTTGAGATGTATCAGATGTATCAGAACCACCATCGATCACACCATTCTTCCCCAGTAAAGCAATTTTCTGGCTTTTTTTGTTTTGTTTTGTTTTTGCAAACAAGGCCTCAAAGAGACCTCCTTGTGCTTTAGTAACGTGCTTGTGCTTTGGTAATGCAAGGCAAAATATCCACTCATTCCAGCCAGGGCACACCTTTGAGCGTGCAGCAACGCTGGCTTTTTACATGGGAATCCAAGCCAAGAGGACTGGTGCCAGGATGGTGATATTTCTAAATTACATCTGCCGTTCTGTGTCTGTAACGAAGCCCTACCTTTGCTTGGATGATGACTGTCCTGCCCCAGCCCCTCCTCGTACCAGCAGGACCGCATCCTCCTCCTGAGGCTTGCTAGCACCTGAAGGATTGTTCTGTGAAAACTAGGGACCCAGCACCTGCTGACATTCCTTAGCATCCTCTCTGACTTTATCCCCAGGGAGAAGCGAGTCGATGTTACCCTGATGCAGTCATAGTTCCTCTGCTTCCCCTTATCACATTATATGACCATGTTGTTTCAAAGCACACCCAATCCCTTTACCCTTCGGCTCCCTGCCGTCTTTCAAGGCAGGATTTTCTAAACTTTAATCCCAAGAGAATAGAATCACGATTTAGCCATCTCCCTGTCTCATCTCTGCACCTTCACTAACTCTGCCACACTGAAATGCCACCTGTACCATCAGCTACAACTCTAGTTTTAAACTATGTAATTTTACATTTATAATTTTGGCTTAAATTTATTTTAAAAGAAGCCGGTACATTGGCCGAGCATGGTAGCTCATACCTATCATGCCAGCATTTGGAGAGGCAAAGGCGACTAGGTAGATAGTTTGAGCCCAAGAGTTCAAGACCAGCCTAGACAACAGGGCAAAACTCCAGCTCTACAAAAAATACAAAGATTAGCCAGGTGTAATGGCGCATGCCCATCACAGGAGGATTGCTGGAGCCTGGGAGGTTGAGGTTACAGGGAGCCATGACTGCGCCACTGCATTCCAGCCTGGGTGACAGAGTGAGACCCTGTCTCAAAAAAAAAAAAAAGAAAAGAAAAGAGAACTGTACATGCTAACATGAATGAAAAACCAGTATCACTTGGAATACACTAAAGCAGCAATCAAAATAAATACAATGAAAAAATAGGCATAATTACCTTTTAGCTAGATACTATGTCTACTTAAGGTCTGTGTATGAAACTCTCTGTATTAAAA